GTTCCTTTTTGTTCAAGAGCATATAATCTAATGAAAGGAGAAAAATTGACAAAATTAGAAAGCCACTGTTTTTGCAGCCACCAGCGTAAATAATCCAGGCAGATCATCAAAGGTGAAAAACTACCGAGTGTAAGGTGGTTGGGGAACAAGATATTCTCAGTCTTAAAGGCCACGGATTACTTATTAATTAATAATAATACAAAGGGGAAAATGTACCTTTCCAATAAAGACACTTGGAAGACACCACATTAGCCAAGAGATCAAACTTGGCATTGTCAATAATCGGATAAATTTACAGTATTTCTTCCTGATATGCAGCAATGGGAAAGATACACCATCACATACGTAGTATTCTTGCTAAAAAGCTAAGCCCTAATCTATCTGATTATGAGAAAATGTTCAAAAAGATCTAGATGCAGGGCATTCAGCAAAGTTGATCAGGAATCTTAAAAACTGTCAATGCCATGGAAGGTAAAAATGAGGGGACTCTTCCAGCTTAAACAAAAATAAAGAGACATGGAATTAAGAAATAATGCATGATCCTTGATTGAATCCTGGATTGGGGGAAAAAGGGACATTCTGAGGGCAATTGTAATATTTACAAATGGACTATAAGGTAATAAATACTCTATCAATATTAAATTTCTTGGGTGTGGCAGTGTTGTTATTAGGAGCATGTCCTTGTTCTTGGGAGATATGTGCTGAGATATTGGGGTGAAATGTGATTTCTGAAATTTATTTTCAAATGGTTTAGCAAAAAATTTGATGTATGTGTTTGTGTGTGTGTGTATATATATATATATATATATGCAGATAGGGAGAGAAACAATAAAATGTGTTATATTGTATATCAACTATTTAAAAAAAAGACAATGTTCATAGTTGGTGAGTCTAAGCAAAGGATATATGAGTGTTCACAGTATTATTCTTTCAATTTTTCTGTAGATTTGAAAATTTTTCCCCAAAAAGCTGAGGGAAATAAGAGAGTACAAATGAAGTGCTTGGTCAATGGTGAGTACTCAAAAAAGGGTGAGTCCTATACAAGAGCATAATCTTCATGAGAGCGGAGACTTTAGTTTCTTTTAACATGTATCCCTAGCACCTCCACCAGTTCCTGGCACATAAGATGGTACTCAACAAACGTTTTTGAAACAAATCATTGAGAGGTTGTATATTAGAAATGCAACATAAAAAATATCATTTTTCACAGGATGGTGCATGGTTACATGGGACAGCTGTTTCTATGGTCTAAAACAACTGTACCAATTGTTTTGATTAAAACTACTTCTCTATGATTTAAAAAATATGACTTAAAATATTGCCGCAAAAAATCCATCTGCCCAACTGAGAAGAGCTTGTAGCTCATTTACAAGAAGTAATATTTTCTGAGTAACATCAGCATGTTTGGTTGGGCCATTTGGGATTACTGTGAAAAAAATTAGGAGCTTCATTTTTTCTCACGCTGACCAAAATTGACAACTGGACTCTTTGGGAGGAGTACTGCGCCCTCTAGTGGTGAAAAACTCATCTGGTTTCCATGGAAAAGCCAGCGAACAGAGATGAAGAGGACAGAGTGCCTTTATTCAGAGATTTCTGGATACTTACAGTGACCGTAAAGACTGAATCTTATGTGATCATTTTCGACTTAGGGAATAGCCAGCTTTGGGGGATTACTGCGCCAGGCTGGACTGAGGAAGGTACAAATTTACGATTGGTAGGTGACATTTGTAGGTTGGTCAGAGCTGAGGTGGGAAGACTAGTCCCCAGCGTGATGGGAGCCGTGGGAAACCTGAGGGATCATTTGCACTGTGAATTTCAGGATCCCGTCTGCTTGTGACAAGGGTGTGAGTATACTCCATCACATGCCTCTAGGAGGAGTTCTGGAAGGAATCCGGGGCTGTGAGCCCAGACAGCTCATCAATGTCCAGCATTGTATCCCTGGAAGTGCCCTCTCTTTTTCTTAATTTCTAACATTAAAAACCTTTTTTTCTCTGAGTGTAAAAATGATTCATGGTTTGTATAAAAACATTACCAATTTAAACATCACCTGAAATCTGTCTACATTGTGATAACCACAGCTGACATTTTTGATGAATTTCTTTCAGGTAATTCTGTGCATATAACCACATAGAGTAGAAATGTCTAATTGTACAGTAATGAGATTATAAGATACCTATTTCTTTATAACTTTATTTTCTTTCAACAATGTGTGGTGAGATCTTTCTATCCAATTATAGATGCATAATTAAAAATTTTTTATTAAAAAAATTTTAAAGTTATATGTGCTCATAGTAAAATGCAAATAATAGTGTTTAAGTTAGGAAAATGAACATTTTTTCCCCATCTCCTAATTCCATTCCCCAGTGATAATTACTTTTAACTATTTTGTGTATAATCTTCCAGATTTGTAATGTATATATACATTTATGTAAGTAGATACTTTTTTACACAAATGTGATCACATGATAAATAATGGTCTTCCATGAGCTTTTTTCACTTAACTGTGTCATGAACATCTTTCCATGAAAGTGTGTGTGTGTGTGTGTGTGTGTGTGTCCTGTTCCTTTAAGTGATTACATAGCATTCTATTATATAGATGAACCATGATTCATTTAACCAGTCATCTATTAATGGATATTTAGACTGTTTCCAGTATTTTGATATGTAAATACCTTGCTGAATATTTTAGTAATACGTCTTGGTATGTTTGTTTAGTTGCTAAAACATAAATTCCTGGAAGCAGATCAACAGATATGCATGTTTAATTTTATTTGAAATCTTAGTATTTTTATTTTATTTTGTAAATAATGAACAAATATTCCATTTTATTGAAATACTAGAATTTATTTAAACACCAGTCCATTTTGGTCACATTCTTTCTATTTTTGCTATATCACAAATAATACAACAACAAGCATTTGTATATGTAAATCATTATCATATGAAATAATATCATTAGGAAAGGTTCCTAAAGAAGGAATTTAATGAGTAAAAAGGTGGGTTTCTTTATGACCTAATTCACATTGCTAACAAAATTGCTTTCCAGAAAGGCATATCAGTTTATGTTCTCACCATCAGCATTCTACTATGAGTACAATTGAGGATAGGTGTCTTTTTACACATTTACTGGCCATTTATTTTACTTACATGAATTGCCAGTTCTTTTTTTTTTTTTCTATTGGTTTGTTTGGCTTTTCCTTGCATTCTGCAGGGAGTTCATGCATCTGTTCATTAATTCATTGAGCCAATAAACAAACATTTGATCATCTACTGTGTGCCAAGTACTATTCTAGGTATTGGAAATAAGTTCAGCAGTGAACAAATCAGTTCCAAATTATACCCTATTCAGCATTGGGGGTGCAGTAAGTAAGCAACTATACATCAGATGGAGATAGTGGTAGAAAAACAAAGTGGGTAGTAAGATGGAGAGTGTAAGGAATGTCATTTTATAGGGATAGTCAGGGAAGGTCTCTCTTTGAACAGAAATGTGGAGCACATGGGGAATCAAGCCATTCAAAAAACTTCCTGGGGATGAGAACTTCAGTCAGAGGGTACAGCAAGTTCTTCATAAATCCTGGATATTGACTCTTTCCCAGAATATATCACTTGCCTTTTATAGTTGTTTAAGTGTCTTGTACAGAAAGTTTTAATGTTGTTGAGGTCAAACTTGTCAGTTTTTCCTATTTATGACCTCTGTGTTTTATAACTGAGAACTTTTCTTCCCCCCAATCAAAAAAGTATTCTCATAGATTCACGTCTACTATTTTTCTGCTTTTATTTTTAAGCTTTGTTGAGATATAATTTATGGTATATCATGAAATTCACCCATTTCGAGAACACAGTCTGATGATTTTTAGTAAACAAAGTTGTATAACCATCACCACAATCCAGTTTTAGAGCTATACTTTGATTTTGCTATATATAGCTTTTAATATGTCTGAGATTCATTTATGCCTTTGATGTGAAGTTAGAGACCTGTTTTTTTTCCCTTTCCCTATTAATGTGAACTATCTTCCTTAGCACATGCTAAACTTCTGTGTATACATGGGTCTGTTCCTGGTCTTCCTGTTCCAGGGGTCACAGAGAGGGTTTGGTTGGGCCCACTGAATTTTCAAAATTGGGGAATTTCACATAAAAACCCAGTTTTGTTTTTTTCTACTTTTCTGAAAAAACAAGAAGATTCAGCAACAATTTGCTGAAGGCGAATGAAGACTACTCCTTTTAGATGAGCATGGGTGGAGAATATAATTCCAATTCCTTTATACACCTGGTGTCCCGGTGTTATTATTAATAGTGTCCTTTTATTCTTAACAGTGTTCTGGGTTTGGGCAATAAATTATGAAACATAATCTCCTCCATTCCGTACCGCATCACAGATGGCACTCCTCTCAGTTACGTTACAAGACCCTCCTGGGAAGGGAATAGGGGAGGAGGCAGTGTGATCTCACCATCGAAGTTGGCCAGAATAATGATTTTGCGGGCTCAGAGTGGAGAGAACCTACTATCTGGCGGGGAGAAATAAGGACAAAGTTCCTCCGACAGAGAATATTATGTCACAATTTACCAGTCCCTTTCTCTTCCATTCACAACAACCTATCCAGTTACACAGTTCATCCAGTTTGTTATTGTGAGTTTATTTGTGCATGGATTTGCTTCCCCAAGAATCTGTATTCCAAAACAGAGACCTAGTTAGTCTGCTCTGCTCACCACTGTATTCTCAGTGATCCATTCGGTGCCAGGTGCAGAGCAGGCCTCTAGGCATTTATTGGCTGAGTAGGCTCCCAGGAACTACTGACTGTATGAACTAATGAAATTGAGTGGCAGAGAGTCGAGGTCCGCGGTGAGTCACCGGCAGAGAGAGGCAGGCAGGCATCAGAGCCCGCAACCAGATTCCCAGCCTGGATCCTCGGATCTTTTCCTGGGCAGGTGGCTTGTCATCTCCCCAAACAGGCAAGAAATAGGAGAGTGCATAAGCAGGGATTCGTCTTCGACCTCAGGGGACCTCGCCGACTGAGGAACCGAGGGGCCCGAAAAACAAGTGGCACAAGAAACGCCACATTGCTCTTTCGCACCTGACCAGCCTGAGAGCAAGACTACACTTCCCAGCAGCCCCCGCGCGGCGCTCACAGCCCTGCCACGCGGCTTGCGTCTCCGCCGTCGACCCACTGGGGGCGCTGCGGCGACCCCCTCCACCACCCCGTAGAAATCTCCGCGGCCCCGGGGCCGCTTGCTTCCTGTTTGTCGGAGGAGGAGATATGGCGGCGGCTCCGGCGGCTCCTGGGTCTGGGGCCGGCCGAGGACGAAGGGCGGCAGCAACGGTGGCGGCTTGGGGCGGATGGGGCGGCCGGCCGCGGCCCGGCAATATTCTGCTGCAGCTGCGGCAGGGCCAGCTGACCGGCAGGGGCCTGGTCCGGGCCGTGCAGGTACGAAGCCGGCCCGAAGGGGCGGGGCGGGGCGGACCGGCGGGAGCAGGAGAGGGGCCGGGGTAGAGGCCTTTCCAGGCCGCCGCAGTCCGGGCCCGACCCCTCTTGGCGGGCCGCGCGGACACCCTGTGGGTTGTCTGCATCCTGTCAGTCGCAGCAGGTTGGTGGGCAGCAGCCAGCTGGAGGCCCCTGGTTAGGGGCCGAACGGGGCTGGGCTGCACTGGGCATTGATGCGTTTTCGAGCCGAGGGCCCAGCTCCTGGATCCTCCCTTCCCTGCGCCACGTCTACACGTCTGGGGGACCCAGGGCGAGTTTGCTTTTAGTCTCCCCGGGCCTCGAGTTTCTCCCCGGTGAATTGGGCTGTGGGTCATCACTGAAGCCCCCCCAAAGGGTTCCCAAGCTTATCATAAATGACATTCCCTCAGGCCTTTCCTTGACACACCCCCACCCCCACTTCTAAAGTAGGTCCCCATTGTTATTCAGTCACAGCCTTGAACTCGTTTCGTTTACATTACTTTTTTGGTCTATAATTACACATTTCTTTGTTTATCCTTTTTTCTTCCCCGTATCCCACGTTAGGCTGAGCTCCAGCGGGTGCAGGGACTGTTTGCCGATGGAGAGCGACGACTTTATAGAGTCAGGCCAGGATACAAAGCCTGGCTCACTCTTGCTTGGGCAGGTTACCCTTCTATGCCTCAGTTTTCTCATTTGTAAACTAGAGATGATAATTAGTAACCTAGCTCTTACGGTGTTGTGAGGATTCAAGGAGACAATTGTGTAAAGCATTAAGTGCATTTTTGGTGCATAGTAAGGGCTGACAGGTAATCAGTTAATATTAATGCTCTATTTGGTAACTGTGTTACAATAGTGCCTAATGTATGATTAGTATTTCCTTGAATGAATGAGGGTAAGGCAGGGTGGTAAGACCTAGGATGCTGCTCCTCCTCCATGTTCCCAGAATTTATGTTGCAAACACACCTGTAAAACATTAACTGAATCTAAAGAGCTTTTGCTTAAAGAAACTTTTGAAGGATACACAAGAAACTAATAAAGTGGTTGGCGCAAGTGGGTGGAAATTGGGTAGATGGGGAAGAGAATAGGAGTGAGGCTTTCCAAAGTTTAACTTTATATATATAAACTTAATTTTGAACCATTATAATATTACTCATATGATTCAAATGACAGAATAAAAGATAAAACCCAGGTGTTGTATGTGTGGTTGGTTACAGATGAAGAAGCAGTTCTGGGTGAGCAGTATTTTCCTGGACATCAGCTAATCATAGAGAGTAACATTTACCCTCTGTAGTCTTCTCTGTCTGCCATAAGATTCTGAAAATACTTGCTCAGTCCTTTTGTAAACCAAAATACCTTACTGAACTGGGTATGTAGGGACAGGCAGAAAGGGAACTCACTCACTTTTACTGAGCCCATACTTTGGATAAATAGATACAGCGTCTTTAATCAGTCTTTTGAATCAGGTGTCAAGACTCATCTCTCAACACAAATGAGGAAACTGAGGCTCAGAAAAGTTAGGTGCTCCTAAACACCCATCTTGACCATCTTCTGTGTTCTGAAGTCATAGGGAGCCGCAGAAATGCTTCAGCATACTAACGCATGAGGCAATTTAGGACGCTTGTTTCCAGTGCTGGATGACTTAGAATGTGGGGAGAACGGAGAAGCTCACCAGATAGAAGGGTACTGGAATATTGTTGAGCCTGGTTTAGACTGGTAATTGTGGTGATAAGTAGTTGCATACACGTGTGGGAGCTATTTCAGAGGTTGAAATAGAGGTACCTTGCCAGAACTGTGATGAGGACAAAGTGGGGGTCTTCATTGTTCAGATGTGACTTTTATTACTTTCCTTGCCCTTGCCCCCACTGCCCACTGCAGAATAAATTATTTCCTTGCAGGTATTTCCATAACACAGTAAGTGTATTCTTATGGCATGTGCAATCATGAGAAAAACCCATTTTTAAAAATTATTTCTTAGTTGTGGTAAATGCATAAAATTTACCATCTTGACCATTTTTTAAGTGAAAGCAATTCAGTAGTGTTAAGCATATTCACATTACTGTGAAACAGATCTCCAGGATTTTTTTATCTTGCAAATCAGAAACTAAACCCATTAAACAACAACTACCCTTTTCTCTCTCCTCCTGGCCCTTGCTGGCCCTTGGTGACCACCATTCTACTTTCTTGTTTCTATGAATTTGACTACTCTAGGTACCTCATATAAGTGGAAATGATGCAGTACTTGTCCTTTTATGTCTGGCTTATTTCACTTAGCATAATGTCCTCAAGGTTCATCCACACTGTAGCATGTAACAGGATTTCTTTGGAAAAGACCAGAGTTTGAAGCAAGATGGACCTGGATTGAAGCCTAGTTCTGTCACTTACTAGCTGAGTGACCTAGGCTACATTCTCTTTAACCTTAGTTCCCTTTTTCTGAAACATCAATAACGTCTAACTCATATGGCTGTTAGGAGGATTAAGTGAAATATGTCTGAAAAGCTTGGCCAGTGTGTGGCACATAATAGATGCTCAGTAAATAGTTACTGTCAGCTCATAGCTATTAGACTGGGCTTCTTGAGGATCTTTGTCTTATTTTTCTTTGTGTCTGCAGAGCCTGAAACAGCACCAGGTACTTGATACCCAGGACTCTGGAAATAGTTTAAATTGTAATACTGTATGTGAGGGCTCAGTCTTCTTCTTTCTCAGTCCTGTCTCTGCAAACAGTCCAATGGCTTAAATGGTCCAAAGAATTCTGGCGTCAGATTACCTAGGTTTGAATCCCAGCTCTGGTATATACTTGCTGTGTGTCTTTGAGCTAGTTACTTAATCTCTTTATTCCTCAGTTTCTTTATTGGTAAAATAAGAATAGCCTACTAAGGTTATGGTAAGGACCAAGTGGATTTATATGTATAAAGTACCTAAAATGGGGTCTAAAAAATAATAAGAATGCTATGAAGATTATTGAGTATTTTTTTAAACAAATACTCTGTATTCTGATGGATCCTAAATGTGTATTTGCATCCTGATTTCTCCTTTTAGCTCCAAATGGGTATGTCCAAATACCTTCTCAGCATCTCCACTTAGATGTCTAATGGCATTCTCCAACTTAATATGTCAAATAAAATTCCTGATGTCTCTTCCATCAAACTTGATCTTCCCCAAGTTTTCCCCATTTTCCGTAATGGGACTTAAGAGATTCCTGGGAGAAGGCTCTAGCCACATGGGTTAGAATGGGCCTGCCCTACTTGGATTTTAGTGTGCCTTATTTTCATTCCTTCCTTTCAGTTTACCTTCTATCAAGGTAATAAAATATGCTGGTATGATACTTCAGCGTTTACAAAGCCTGTTCACATTTATCAGCACATTGGATCCTTAATGCAAGTCATATCTTATAAATCTGTTGCTTAAAGCCCTTCAGAGGCATTGCATCCCAGTTAGAATCAAATCCATATTCTTAACCATGGGTGCACAAGACCCTGCATGACCAGCAGGAGTGGAGGGAAGGGACAGACTAGGCAAACGTGCATTCAGGCCAGAGTAACTCACAGGTCATGACCTTCAGTTTGAGATACTCCTTCAGTCTGGCCATCTGGGGACAAGCTAGGTTATAATATCCTCACTCTGTTTCCCAGTTCCTGCCAATTGCATGCTTGTTGGCATCTGAATTCCACCTGTTACTTCAAATTTCTTTTTTTTAGTTTGTCCTCTTTCTCTCTTCTTTTCCATAATTTCAGTAGGCACTACCTGTTTAAGCCTCATTCTAAGCATCGTTATTTGTGAAACCTAGGGATTTAAATCAAATAAAATCTTGCCTTGCCTGTCAAGTGTAATTTGATAAAGAAAAAACCCTGGATAGGATATATTTTCATAAATTAAAAATATAAATACATTAATCTTAGCAGAAAGTTTTTATATTCACAAACCATAAAATTTAGTCTTAAGTATATCAAAACAAAACAGATCCCACTAAAGTGCACACAGGTATGCATTGGTTAACATTTATTAGAATAACCCAACATGGTATTTAATCTTCCTTAATTAGTCTTTAAGATGCTGTTGCAATTAATTTGAATTTTGGAGCATTAGATAGCTTACACTTAGGACTACACAAATAAGATACACACTTATGTCTGTGGAATTCAGCCTTTAATTATTTAAAAAGAAAAGCAGTAAAGACAGTAAGTCAATGAAAACTGGAGATGTCATATTCGCTTAACAGTTTGACAGCTTAGGCAGCATGTGAGAGATTATCACTGCTGTAAACTGTCAAACCGCAAGTACTCCAGGAGAAAAACACCCGTACAACACCTGCAGTAATTCAGCTTTGAACATGACTGGCTCTTTCATCACATTACTCAGCTCTTCACAAGGAAAACAGAATCCAAATGATTATTTTTAAATGAGAGTATCTACCTTGTAAGACAATGTAGAGGTAATATAAGAAATTCTTTGTGAAGCTGAATATTTGAAGTTTAATTAGGAGGATCTCTAGATATCATGAGCCTTGTAACAAAAAACAGTACCTGCCCCACTTTCACCCTGAAGTTCCACCCTCCCCAGGCAACCGCTGTCATAATGTCGCTATGTCTTCTTCAGGTGAAGGGTCCAGGAAACCGGAGAGCCAGTATTTCTAAATAACATGCCTATAAGGCTGTTCCTTGACTTCTGAAGTTTTTTAGATGTTGTCTGCTTTCTTCCTCTAGTAGGATTTAATTTATGTATTTTGTCTCCATCATTCTACTAATGTAGGTATGTCACAGTTTTGGCTGTTGGTGTTAAATATTTACATAATGATGTAATTGTTTACAGTAGAGCCATAGAGTATACAACTGTTATGTTTGTCTTGTATAATTTTTTGTTTTTCTTAAAGTTAAAAGCCACCCTTTCCCCCTATTTTTTAAATTGAGATGTAATATAAGTCACCTTTTTTAGTGTATAGTTCTGTAAGCTTTGACAAACACATACGGTTGTCAAGTCCACCACTACAA